GATCTACTAGATATTAATTAAATTATAAATACATCAATTCATGTGAATAGGTCTGAATTTTTTTTCAGAAAAGGTGGTGTCTATTTACTTGTGACCATGCTGTGTATTGGTGCCATCCTGGCTCATTTTTCTATATCCAGGTGTCCCTATGTTTCAGCTTGTACATAGTGGCATAAGAATAGATCATGCCATCAAATGCTTCATAGGGTAGATTTCCTAGACAACTTATTGATTAAGTCTTCTCCTCAGCGCAAAAGGAATATCCTAGGAATGTGACTGTAAATTAGGTTGCTAGTCATCTGGCTCTTTAGGTAACACAACAATATTGAACAGCATAGCTTTCTAATGAAACAACCTGCTGCTAAAGCTTGAATGTGATAATGTTCCAGTACTTCTGTTGCACATTTATAAGCATCTAACATCCACGCTCAGAAAGACGTATTCTTCAGTTTGTTTTATACTTTTAATGGAACTTTTCTCTCTTTATACCATTTCAGGACGTTATTAAATTTCCCTTATCATTAACTTTGAAGGTGGGAAAAATGTCTATATTCACGAACAAATAAATCAGATCAGTCTTGGAGTGTGTGTTATGTGTGTCTCTATGGTTACTGCGAAGGTGCTTGGTTCACTGGGTATTTTGTATTGATTTTTCTGTTCTTTTGATCGTATATGTTATTTTAATAACATGAATCTAGAAGCAGGAAATCTTAGAACGGTAAAATTACAATAAATTTAGAGACAGCCTCATTTTAGAATAAGCTTACTTAAATGTTTAGAGATCGCACTGCCATTAATTTTTAACGTTATCCCTTTCCTGTGAAGGTAGCAAAACAGGTCATTTCCCGACATTCAGAAGTACAGAAAAAGAGGATTTGGTCCATTTTCTGGAGCATTTCAGGCAGTCACGTAGTTTGGCCTGTGTAACAAGGTCACCACTTTCAAGAGGCAAAGGAGCTTACACTAAAGAGGATGAAATGGGAGAATAAACCAAAAACATTTGCATTCATGCCCTTGAAAGTGGAATTTCTTAGTCATATTGTAGGTAGAGAAGGAATTTCCATGGATGCTACTAAAACAGCAATGGTGCAAGATTGAGTTCAACCCATGTTCAAAAGTTTCACATTGTGTTTCCGATGATTTGTGGCCAACTTCTCCAAGATCAACTTGAATCTGGAATAGGCAATGCAACTCCTAACCTAAATTTGGATGCTTTAGCCCTCAATGTTATCACACATGCGAGCAAAATGCCACTCTGGGACTGGGATATAGTTGTAGCCGAGTTTAAATGAGGTTTAGAACCCTATGGCTCAGAAAAGGGGTCATTTAGAGAACTATGCCACTTATGCTAACAATCAACATCATTTGCAAGGGAAAGCTTACCCTGCAATTGCATCAACAGGCTACGAGGATATCTTTGTTGATATGTTTATATAGTTCTATAGTGAGACAATGAAGCATCACTTGAGTATAAAAAATGTTCTCAGTCTAATAGAGGAAGTTTTTGTGGTATTAAGGTTCAACGTTCGTTACTTGGGATAGGTCGAAAGAGAAGAAAAAATCCACAGTAGCAAATGCTGTGGCTGAATCTCAAACACACTACCATATTCAAGTGAATGTTTCACATTAAGCTTTGCTAAGAGCAACACAGCATCCACTGGAACCACTAGAGTTGTGTTACAGTGCATGGATAGGGCTTCCTAGTCTATTCATCATCTTTATAAAATAGCCAGTAAATCCTCCACCTGGATGCCACTCTGGAAGGAAAGGCAACATTATTCACTTTGGGTGTTGGCAGCAGGGTCACTTCAAAGAGTTGCCTGTAACCTGCCATGGGTGGGGCAAATCAAATATTCTATTTTCGTTTTTATCTTTGGTGAAAAGAATATAAATTTGGAATATAATCATTAAACATTTGGTCCAATGTATAGCATCAAATAACGAATTACCTAAATGTTATAATATTTAAGGCAGTCATAAAACCAAGGAAGAGGACATTCATGGTTCTTTAAAAAAGTATTCAGACATTTGTAAAAGTCAGATTACAAGTAATCTCCACGCAATAACAGAGCTTTTGTTGTTATAGAAAGCAAAGGTTTCAGTTCTTTTACCTTTGAAATGAATTATGAAAATCCTTAACAGTGATGGAGAATCGTAGTTATTTAATTCTGTTAACTACGAGAAGAGTACACTTCTTTATGATCATGGCTAGACTTTTTATTTCCCGTCCTCAACATCATGGGAAAAGTATTGTAGAGGCTCCCAGGGATTCCAGTACTCTGATGCACAGTAGGTTCCTGTTATAGAGTGGCATAACAATGAGGTTCACCAACAGCTCCTATATCAGTTCTACTCAATTCCACGCTCTTGTGTGACTCAAGCATATTTCAACACTATATCTTCTTGCTCAAGAAGGCTCACTACTGCCCTTTTTTTTTCATTCACCTCATATATATATATTTAATAAATTATTTCTACTACAGTTAAACCTAGTTAAAATTCACACTTAACAAAAAACAAGGAGGTATGTGGCTTATCAATTAACATGAGGATGAAAAAAATCATAAAAGAAAACTGAGATGGCTGTGTGGAAAGAAACATCCGAAATATGTATGACACAAGGAATTTTCATATGGGTAGTTCTAAGACATCGTTACCATCCACCCACCCCCAAAAAAAGTTTGTACTACTCACTGCTGATCCCAAAAATGTTAATCAGATAACTTGGAAACATAAGAAAAATGTGTTTTTGCACATCCACACAGTGTAACTGTGTGAGTTATTCACTGTAGGAATCAAAAAGCACCCACCAACCTGCAATGGTTCATGACTTACAACCATAAAAATGTACATTTCAATCAAAAGAGAAGAGCCAATATCAGAGTCAGTACATTTGTTCATACAGTAGTTTCCATAAAGTATTTACATAAAAAATATTTATCTATACAAACATCCTATAAATAAGCTTCATCAATGGAACAAGAATTGTAACTATAAAATAAAGTTGATTCAGTCACAATATGTTTATATGAATTAGAAAAGCACAGAAAAAGTATCAGACTTCAGCACCCAGGAAAGTCTTATGAAGTTTGGCAAATGATGGGAACAGAAAAATGGAAAATTCTCCGGAAAAATGAGAAAAGTTAAGCAGCCTATAGATGCTAAGCACCATGAAACTTTCACATTTTACACAGATAACACAAAACCAAAATAAAAAAGGCTGAAGAAAAAAAGAAGGCAGTATCACTGTCTCCTACATGTGCAAGAACATTAAAAACTTGGCTTTTTCTGATGTAATACAATTGTTATTATTATTATTATTATTTCTTATGTTAGCCATGTTCTGTTAATTCAAAATGTGATTTCTTCTTAAGTTTTCCAAAGAACACTATTTAATTTTATATTTTTGTTTAAGCAGAATTAATTATTCTAAGATATCAAACATGTCCAACAAATCACAGAGACAAAAAAATTTCCTTACACTTAAAAATAGCACAATTCTGTCTGTAAAAACATTATTTTCAAAATTTTTATCTTCTACTACTGACATTTGATCTTCTAATTTGAACATTATAAGCTTCATTTTCTCAAGTTTTTGGTTTATGGTCAAATTAAAAATTTTCTTCTCCAGTGAATTTTTCAATATTGATTCCCTTTATATTAGTTAGCTTAATATGTGAAGAAAGTAGTATAAAAAATTTTCTTTTGGAAAAAGATAGGTGAATTCTGTACATCTATCTACTCTATTTTTAAAACCCTATTTTGATTAATAAGTCAAGGACAATCAGCTTTGATGTGTTACAGCACATGGATAGACTTGCTGATGCAGTAGAGAACTCCTTTGACTAATACAAGTCTACTGAACCAAAGGTAGTATTAACTATGCAATGAACCTCAAATTCATTAGACTCTCCACAAAGAATGCAATTTTTCAATGTATAAATGTCTTAATAATGATTTTTTTTGGTTATGGACAAGCAAAAAACAAGCTAATACACCCATGTTATTCATGCTGGGGAGTATACATATACATGATTATTGGCACTACATCTGTACACCTTTTGAAAGTCACATTTCCATAGAATGACAATAATCAATTTGGAAAAGTTATTTTTATTTTTTTTACTTTAACTTAATTTCACCTCTGATTTCATTTGGTAACTCAAAATAGTATGAAAAAAAAATCTGTGGTCCATAAACCAAGAAATAAAATCTAAACATATTAGCTTTGTCAAAGCTTATAAACTTTACCTGTCAATGAAACCATCTCCATTTCCATCACATGTCTGAAACAGGCGTCGTATTCGTTCTTCTTCAGGAGTTGAACCAGAATCACTTCCACTTGATTCACTTCGAATGTCACTAGCCATTATCTTTTTCTTTCGTTTTCACTCTGTTCTTATTTAGTCAAATCATTTTAAAATATAATCTAAAACTAGCTTATCATTACCTTATTAAATATACTGGCTGTCCAACTGAAAAATTATGTCCATCATAACTGCTAATGGATTTCACATCTAACTTTAAGTACAAAGTGTTTTCATATCTTATGCTAGAACTTTCAACAGACATTTTATCAGTCAGTCATATGTAAAATATAAATATCTGATTAATGTCAAAGTAAATGCAGGTTTTCATTCTTCATTATGCAGTCAGTATTTATCTGAGAGAACAAAGATAACTCTTGTATTTACGTGGTCTATGATATAAATTTCAGAGTTTAAAATTTTCACTTCCTATATGATCACACCCAACTACTCATAGTCCAAGACTTATCACCTTTTTTATTTTGCTGACAAGAGACTCAGCAGTATATATTTCTCCATAAGCTTTCTGAATACAATTTTGTAGAACTTTATAAGTTATGCAAATCTATCTGACCAATTCTAGTAACAGTAAACTATTTCATCCATCTACTATCACTATATTATTATCCAACATTCAAAGCACAGAAAAATCTATCAAAAAACAAACTCCAACTAACACGAAACTAAACCATTAAGGAAACGTTATGTTAGTTTAGTGTGGATAGCACACTAGACTTTTCTCGATACTTCAGTCGTACAATTCTGCCTCACAACTTCAACTTCAAGACACATTTTGTAACAGACACACTGTCCACGGTGATGCGACTAAAATTTTAGTATCAAGAGATCCGAACTGAAATAATTAAATTTGCAATTCTACTTAGCTTTATAATCCACGGAATTAGTACAACATGGGCCTCATTAAAAATATATGTATATAAAGGATTTTCTTAACAGAAATAAACACTTCTCAATTCACTGCTTCGCTAACTATGCGTGCAGAAAGCACCCACACTATAAAAAGTTGACAGTCGATATTGTCGTAAAGCGTCCTCTATAAATGATTCTTTAGAATTAAATTATGGTCCACTAGCAACAGCAACAGAAACATATATCTATACTCTATGACATGCAAATATGTACAAACAGTTAACATAATAGCCACACCTTACCCACAAATTGTTTGAAGCAGTATGCATAAGAAGACAGTGAAGCAACAGTCAAAGAATAATTTATTTGTATATTATTAAGCAGGACAAATAAATTTATTTTGTTAATAACTTAATTGAAGAAAAATCAGTAACAGTATCTTTAAATCTTTCTCTATAGAAAGATATGGCATTATCAACATGTGAGATTTTGTATATCCATAAACATTTCTATTGTTACGTCTCCGTTCGTTAGTTAATTTTCCGTAAATTCGTTCCGACGAAACTTTAGCGACACAAGTCCTTTCTTAAATAAAACTGGTTTATTCTTTCTGAATATAACTTTGTGATACACTTAATTTCAACAGTCGCGCTATAACAAACGCTATAATTCTCAACGAATGTCTCACGTGCTCGACTCAACAATACTCCGTTCAATTACACACACTGTTGCCGTCAATTTGTGACCGTCTTATATATACAAGACTACACTATATCTAGAAGGATCCCGAGATTTAAGGAAAGGACGCGAATGTTCGAGAACGACGTGGCGTGATACTAGTCACGTGACCTCTGATGACGCAACACTATGATATTGAAAAGACATTTGGTTTAATGAATGCAGATAACCATACAGCAGAGTCTCAGGCTCACTGACTTTGTACAGATAGGAATAGTCCTATAAATGATTAAAAGTTCAAACACGAAAAGTTACAGATTTAAAACTGAAAAGTTGACTTGAATGAGTTGTAAAAAAGAGACGGTTTTAAACAAAATAAAATCTATCTTTATTTTTAAAAAGAACGCTTTAAAAGTAATGGAAAAGTGAACTACATATTGTTCAATGCTTGTAGATATTCTGAAGGAGATTTTTGATACAGGCAATAGAAATTTTGTTCTCGTATTGTATATGAATATACTGTTACGTCTCTGTTAGTTTGTTAATTTTCCTGCCCCCCAGTGGCACAGCGGTATGTCTGCGGACTTACAACGCTAGAAACCGGGTTTCGATACCCGTGGTGGGCAGAGCACAGATAGCCCTTGTGTAGCTTTGTGCATAATTAAAAACAAAACAAAACTTGTTAATTTTCCGTAGAAATTCTTTCCGAGAAACTTCAGCGACACAAGTCCCTTCTTAAATAAAACCAGTTTATTTATTTTTTCTCAATACAACTTTGCAATACACTTAATTTCCACAGTCACCTTAACCTAAACACACCCTAGAACTCACAACGATTCACGCACTTCACTCACGGCCTAACCCGATTATCTGTCTCTATATCTCTCTGTCTGCAATTATTCATCCCGTCACTTTATTTGCCGGCTTATATACACAAAGTAGAGGGCGTCTGGCAAACTCTCGAGGCTTCAGGAATGTTCGAGATACTCATTACGTGTTACCAGCGTCTCGTGACTTCCACTGTCGTAACAATACCAAGAGTTTCTATCTCCTTCTAATGTTATAGTGTTTACTCTGAACTTATCTTTTATTCTGTATATGTGCAGGTTTCACATAACAACTGGTCAAGAGAACCGCCATTGAGCTGATTTCATTCTAGCTGCCTTTGTTTCTTTGTTGTTCTCAGGTGGATAATACTTGTTCTGCCCGGAATAGTGCTGCAATACTGTACGTTGTGCAAATATGTCGACAGTAATGTCCTTCAGTGGTAGACCAAGTGTAATCTCAAGGTTATGACCTCACCTATTTTGGAATGAGAATTACGTGGTTAATTTAGTTGCTCTGGGCAAATTCGGCATTTTTTATCACATTGCTCTAAGGTTAAATCAGTTTTACCTGAATATACTACAAAGTGGACAGAACGAATAAATTTTGGTGCTGTGACCACAGAATATTGTATTATAGAGTTTTGTTATATCTACTGAAGTCTGTACTGCCCTTCGTCCCACTCTTATGTGATATAAGTTTAAAATGTTTCATTGTTATAGAAATGTCGTTTTCAAGAACTAGAAAAACTTACATCTGCCCACCAAAAGTAAATGGTTGTCAAAGATAGTTGTCAGGCCTAGAATTACTCTTTCCTTAAGGTAGGACTTTTGTTGATACTGCAAAGGTCCTTTACTTCTTTTTTGCTATAGCCAATGACTCAGGAAGTAGATTTACTGATAGTTTGTGCACCCAGAATGACTGTCTATGCTCTATCTAAGGATCAATTCCAGTGTGAGGGTACATAGACAACTGACGATATTTGCAGTGCGTGTGGCATCTGTCAAGTCTGAGACTGAGTGAGGAGGTTTGTACAAGATTCTAAGGCTTATGACAGTCAAAGTAATCAACCCCATCTCTGGACAATGAGGGAAGACAGCAAGCCTGGAATAGTATATATATAAATAGTGCTACAACTTAGAATTAAAAGGGCTTAAAACGGATGCCTCTGAACAGTTCTTCTTTTCTTTCTTATTCATATTTGAGATTAATAAAAGAAATGATGCTGCCAACAGAAACACTTTCTAAAGTAGTTAGCATCTATGTATAAATAAAATATAAACCAGGCTTTCTATTTTGAAAGGGTAATTACATGATTAAAAATGGAGAGCTTGTAGAACTAAAATTTTAAAGTTATTATGTTACAAATATATGTATATTTTTGAAGTTAAATTTAGGATTTTGTTACACTGTTCTTGGTTAACATTTGTACAAACATATGTAGCAAGTTAAGGCGTTAGTGTATAATAGGAAAGACGGGCAATATTCAACTATCTAAATGCTAGTACACAGTTATACACCACTCATGACTAAATAGGTCTTTTGACATTTTGTTCGGTTTGTTTTGTGTTTGCGTGTTTTTTTATTACATTTAAGATATTCTCACTTCATTGTTTTATGGTTGCTGACAAGTTTCGCACACTTACATGTGATGATGATGTTAAGTACTCATTACGTGTTTGTATATTTGTTATTCTTACCTTTTGAAAGGGCTTTCTGAGCCACCTTATATATAGAGATAAATATAAGATCATTCAAAATTTAAATAATCATGAACTACAGGACATTGTAGTGTTCACCCAATCTTACGAATACAGAAAACCGTACTTTCAAAGAATCCGAAGTACGTTATGCCAGTGTAAGGTCTATTATTATTATTCACAACCTCGTATAGTTATCATACTTTGTACGTGTATTAAAAATAACATCTCCGGCAAAGCACGCTTTCTCAAGAAAACTAGAAATAAGAAACTTCGTTTACAGCACGTTCCCAGACACGCCTATAATACTGGTTACAGAAATATTATTGATCCACAATCTGCAGGCACGTACGTGTAATCAAATAATAAAAGCACACGCCTCTTCTTTTTTCTTTATCGTTCAGTTGTTATTGCTGAAATTCGCACAAAGCTACTCGATGGTATCTGAGTTAGCCATCCCTAATTTTGAAGTGATATACTATAATGTATGCAGATAATCAACACCACCCACCGCCAACTCGTAAGCTACTCGAATCGAATAGTGGGACTTAACCACAAGCCTTATAACGACCCACGGCACCAAAGTTTGGAGCACGATTTGATTTTTGGCGGTAACGGGACAAGAAACACCAGTATCGAATGCACAGTCCTGATAGTTCAGTTTAAAAAATGCAACTGGTATTGAAAAATTAATAAAAATACTGGAATTTGTAGCCTTGCAGCATATGTAACTTCAATCAATGCTTTGTACACGTGTAACAGTATCATATACACGTTATTTACGAAGTTCTTTTTCATAGCTTCCTCAATCCCAAAGTAAATAACTTACAGAAAGTACATTAATCAGGCATACTAATTCTGTAAGGGTATTGTTACTGGATTTTGGGTGTTCTTATTTTTGAAGCTGAGGTTTCCATGGAAACAAAAGTAGCTACAGTGTACTTTTTCAGGTCTATTTTCACGTAAAATATGTTAAATAGATTCCATGACATTATTTTCTTTATTATTACTCAACTAATCACTGAGGCACCTATATTTTTTCTTGGATTAACAAATACTTTTTGCAGTAATATGGTTGAATTTATTGAAAAGCAGATCACCAAACAAGTTAAAAATTAAAAAATGACACAGAACTAAATACTTATAGAAATTAAAAACATGAAGATTAGAGCTTTCACTACAGACAACATCCAATAGTGAACAACAGTAAAAATGTTGTCTAATCAGTAGATGGTTTGGAGGATTAATAATTACAGCAACATATGTAATGACTATAAACATTACATGAAAAAAAATGTATATTTAGTTTAATTCTAATCTTGTAGTAAATAACTGCATAAACTTAATACAAAATATAGATCAAACTTTTTCAAATATGTTCTTCCTGACTACTTAAGTTACTTATACCAATTCATTGTGTGTGTATATATACAGCTTCAAAATGAACATGGTAAGACACACAATGTTAGTGTAGTTTGCTAAAAATTTGACAAGATTTGCCCAAACATCTTGAAAACTGCTACTGTACTAATATAGATAAATGTACAACTTATGTAATAAATTTAAAACTCTAAAAAAATAATTTTGTCTTTATTTACTAGACATGCTATAGCATTATGTGAATTCCAAATTATAATTAACAATGTTCAGTATTATGTCATGATATAAGTGAATAAGAGATTCCGATGAAAAGACAAAAGTATGCACATGCATGTTCATCTGATATCAAAGGATTAGCACAATAGCACTTAGCATACAAGTTAGTTTTTGACATACAAGTTAATGTATTTTGTAGCTAATTTCATACGAGCTATACAAAACTTTGTCATATCACTGTGTTTATTTTATAGCTTGCATACATATATATATATATATAAAGTTCAAATATACATCTGGGAATTCTGTTGATAAGGAATTATAAATTAAGAAGTAAA